AGGTTCCAAGTAGAAAATGCTGAATCTACACAAACAAACATATAATAGGGACAGAGTTAATACACATTCAAGAGCATGAATATTAACTGTCCAACACAAAATATTTTCATGGAATTCTTTGTTTTAATATATTTTTTCCCTTTACTCGAAGGGCAGTTTTGAGACCACAGTTGTCTAATTGGCTATTGATCAAGTCTCTGCTGGGAAATTTCTCATAGTCATTTCCTTAACTCCCCACTCAGGCAAATAGAAAGAAAAATGTGTAAGGCCATACAGTGCACCAGTCAAATCATGCCAATAATGGACTCTAGGGGACTTCAAATTCTTTATCCAAACTGGAATTTTACTGAAATTAATTCTACCTTGCTCTCTTGTTTCCAAGGGACTTCAGTGTTCCCTTCAGTAGAATAAAGAGGAGAGTCACCAGATGACCTCCAAGAGACCTGGAGCTTCCAGAATCTCAATTTCTGTGATTCTATTAATATTTCTTGAGAATAAGAGAGTCAGCTGAGGTTTAAACACACTGTGGTCTTTGAACCAAAACAATGCCTTCAATTCCTTTTGTAAATGCAATGTTTTATACATTATTCAGCACTCCATAGGTTCTGAATGTAGAACTGTTGCCTGGGCACTAGAGAAAATCAATGGTTATAATCATCTTCTTTCTAATGGGTTTGAGTTACCATACTCTTCATGGGTATTTGTGCCTTATTGTAGTAACACAAGTGTGGTGGACAAAATGTAATGCACTGTGGATCTGCCCAAGTGTTTAGGATCTTGGGCAGCAAAATATATACCATCAAAATATATTTTTTATAGTGAAAACTGTAGGCCACACCTACAAATTCCATTTCACTATGTGCCAAACTACTAAAAAAAAATGTCTGCAGTAAAATACATATTAGGAACTTATGTGGAATAGTGGGAAAATTAAAAAGAATATTTATTCTCATGTTACCTGCCATACACTACATGGTGGCCCTGCTTGCGTTCCACTTGGTCTCATGTCACTCTCTGTTAGAGTGAATTGATTCATAGTATGTGTTAAATATGCATTGCATGTGTCTGGTTAAGGGTTAAGAATTGTAAATTTTCAGAAATCATTTGGTTCCTATTTTGGTTACCTAGTGCTGCTCTGAGCTCTGAAGGCATCGTGCCTAATGCATCTGACTGCTGACCAGAAGGCTGGCAGTTCAAACCCACCAGCCACTCCTTGAAAGGAAGACTGGGCAATCTACTTCCATAGAGATGCTGCCTTGGAAACCCAAGGAGGGATCACCATGAGTTGAATCAACTCCATGGCAATGAGAATCAAGTCATCAAAATCAATTCCACTCTGACAGGAATATACCACAAATCGGATGGTTTGAACAAATAAGAGTTTATTCTGTTACACAGTTTGGGAGTCTAGAAGTCTAAGTTCCAAGTGCCAGGCTCTAGGGGCTGATTGAAAGCCCCTCAACCTTGGGCTTCTGCTCTGCCTCTTGCTCCTGGCCCACTGAAGCTAGAGGCTTTTCTTCACTCAGACAACTGCTAGCTGCTGAGGCCAATGGACCTATGGTTGACAAGTGAGAAGGCACAGTCCCAATATCAAATCACACAGCAGGCCATTGATTCAAGTCCATTAAAAGTCCCAGAATCAGCAGAGCACTGCAGGCTGCTGAATGAAGACTTGAGTACATGCAGGGTTCCAGTGTGCCAAAGAGCTGGAGACCTTCCTCAAAGCTGCTTCATATACACTGGAAGCAGACCACATCCCTAAAGGAGCTACTCAGCTGCTCCCGTAGATTACCAGTCTCACCCTGGGGAATAACTACATCCAGCTGCCCAGCCACTCAAGCAGGCTCAGCCAAGTTGACAACAATCTTAACTACCACAGTTCCTAAAAAAGAAATATTTAAAAACTAATAACTGAAAATAAATAAAACAAGTAAATTTTATCACCAAGGGTGACTAAGTCAAAATTATGGCCAAATATTAAATAAATAATAAGCTATGGTGGCATAGTGCCTAAGGCATTTGACGGCTAACCAGAAGGCTGGCAGTTCAAACCCACCAGCCACTCCTCGGAAGGAAGATTGGGCAATCTACTTCCGTAGAGATATTGCCTTGGAAACGCAAGGAGGAGTTGCTATGAGTCGGGATTCACTTGAAGGCAGTGAGTTAGTTTTTTTGATGCATAGAAAGAGAGTTGTTGCAAAGCAGCTGCTTTATTAATCATTCAGGCACGGGTAAGAGATGTTTCATGGAAGGTGCTAAGAACAAGTTTCTGTAGCAATAAAGCTAAACTCAGGTTTAAGAGGAACGTTGTGTGCATTCTAGAAGGGGGTAAGAATATAATTTAGAGAATGTAATTCAAAGGAGGGGCTCAGTACATACATTCTCCATTTCCACTAGTCCAAACCAGACCAAACTCACTGCCCTCAAGTCCATTCCGACCCATAGCAGCCCTCATTGGGTTTCCAAGGCTATAAATCTTTACTGAAGCAGACTGCCCCTTATTTCTTCCATGGTACAGCTTGTAGGTTCAAACCACCAACCTTCTGATTACCAGCCAAATGCCTTAACCTCTACACTACCAAATGCTCTACCATTGAGTCAATGCCCACTCAGGGATCCCAATGGATTTCCAAGGCTGTAAATATTTACGGAAGCAGATTGCCTTATCTTCCTCCTGTGGAGCAGCTGGTGGGTTTGAAATGCTGACCTTCTGGTTAGCAGCCAAATGCCTTACCGACTATGCCACCAGAACTCCTTAATTTCCACTAATGCTCTATGAAAATTCTTTGTAAATTTGGTGCCTTTACTTAAATAATAATCTAAATGACTAATGTGAATTGCTCATGCTGGGACATCTGGAGGGCCATTTGATGGCATTTCACTGCCAGGATGTTTAGTGCTGTGGTGGTTAAGTTTGGGTATCAACTTGGCTGGGCCTGGTTGAGTGGCTGGGCAGCTGGTGGTAGTATATTTCCCATGATGAGACTGGCAGTCAACTCCATGGTGGGATCTACCACAAGCAGCTGAGTAGTTGCTTTGGGTATGTGGTCTGTTTCCCGTATATAAAAAGCAACTTTGGGAATAGCCTCTAGCTTTTGACCTGCTTGGACCCTGCATGTAGCCATGTCATTGTTCAGCAGCCTGTCATGCTCTGCCAAACTTGGGACTTACAATGGACTTGAATTAATGGCCTACTGTGTGGTTTGGTAACATCAGGACTGTGCCATTTTATTTGTTGACCTTGGGCTTTTCAGCCTCAGCAGCCAGTAGCCGCCTGAGTGAAGAGATGCCTCTAGCTTCAGTAGGCCAGGAGGAGGCAGAGCTGAAGCCCAAGGTTGAGGGGCTTTCACATAGGCCCTAGAGCCTGGTACTTTGAACTCGGACTTAAAGTCTCCAAACTTTAAGAGAATAAACTCCTGTTTGTTAAGGCCATTCCGTTTGTGGTATATTCTTATCAGAGCAGTACTAGGTAACCAGAACAAGTGCCTACCTCTCTAATCTGGTCTACAACTAAGTTGGCACCAGGAATACTGAGTGTATACTCAGAGGTTACAGAAAGAAGCATAGAGGTAGATTTAATACACTAATGGTTTGTTCACACCCAGTGAGGACCAGCTGACTTTACAAGGCTTTGTAGGGATAAAAGCTTGCCTTTTTCAACTATACAAAATTGATGGTGAAAACTGAGTATATACAACCAACTCAATCAAAATGAGTTGTGGCATAACAGGCAGTACCAAATTTATGGGGTAATTTCATTTCAGCCCATTCATCATATTTAATTAATGATGTTAATTTAATTTGTTCTAGTTTTATAAGACTTTTCAATTTTCATTCAAGTCTGTTCTGGTCTTACAGCATAGGATCAGAACTACAAGTTTACAAGGTGTATGCCAAGTTTTGTGTTTGTGTTTTCTTAAATAATATTGTAATAAAACAATGTAAGTTAATGAAGTTTCTGAGAGTTTTCGTTTTTACCTTTAAATTAAAACCCAATTTTGGGAAACGATGATGAAGTAGTTTCTACCCTCAAATTACTTACAGTCTTTGAACTAGATTACATATTCTTTTCCACTTCTTCAAAACTCTCAGTGAATGGACCACGTCTCTAGATTAGGGATAAAGCTTAATTTGTTCAGTGGGGTGAGATAGATCTTGGTACCTGTCCTTTTCTGAATGTGTGAGCTTGGATACAAATTCTCTCTGGTCTGGCATCCTCATACGTAAACTGGGGATGATAATACTCAAAAGGATTATTTGCACAATAAAACGACAATAGTATTAAATAAAAGGACTGTTTTCAGAAAAAAAAAATAGTATTAAATAAAATTTTAATTAAAAGTAGCCGTTGTTTATAGCAGACAGAAATGTTATCCAGTAGAAACTCAGCAGTTTCTCAAATGATTTTCGTGAGCAATAAAATGTCTTTTATTGATAAAAGCAGTCAATTTAGAATTGTATCGCTTTTTCTTTTCTTTTCTTTCCCCTTGAAAGAGAATTAGTAATGTAAGTCTGTTAGACTAGCCATGAGGGAGTTCATTTCACTGTACCATCTCCTACTCATTTGTAGATTCGAGTGGCCATCTTTTCTAACTCCACAAATCTCTGCTTTTGTTACACAATTTAGGGCTTATTTAGGTGGTTTAGAATAGGACTTTCTGATCCAAAGCTGAGACTGGCATCAAATGAGTTTGCCTGCCACTGTGTAAGGCATGATGAAAAGTCTGGAGTTCTCATGCAGCCTTTCACAGAGTGATTTGGAATCCACTTGCAATTACATACGACTAGTGGAGTTTCATCTGGACAGGCTTGATCAGAATTTGTCTTCCATTCAGTAGAAATGAAATGAGTCCATTTGTAGTGTCAGAATTCATCTCTATGTGACAGAATGAACAGTAACTCAAAATCAGTGGCAGGCACTGGATTTGGCTTACACACTTGAGAGATTGGTCCCTAGAATGTATTATATTTTACTTTTATCACTCTGTCTTCTATTTCAGGGCCTGCTCTTCCCAAGACTCATGTTAAAACAGCCTCTCTTGGGTTGGCTGGAAAGGCAAGATCCCCTTTGCTTCCTGTATCTGTGCCAACAGCCCCTGAAGTGTCTGAGGAAAGCCACAAACCATCAGAGGACCCAGCCAATGTAAGAGCATCCTTGAAACCCATACTGCGGCAAGGGAAGCATTGACTGCTGGTGAATGATGCAATCTCAGCCACAAAGCACTGTTGGTTCTCATTGTTTGTTTTGTTCTGTTTTCTGCAGTTGAATATTAAGAGAAAGAAACTTTAAGGGAAAACTTGTTATTAGGAACTTAGTTAAATAAAAAATTCGGTGGGTACTTGAATGCAGTCTTCAAGACACAAACAGTTGCAGAATGTGTGACTTTTACCAATGTTATAAACTGACCCTAAAATCCCATAAGGATTTTACTACTCATACTATTCATATTCAAAGATAGATATATAGATAGAGTTGACATGTATATAGAATTTCAAATATATTTGTAAATAATATTAACAGTATAAGCCTCATAGTGGTTTAGAGTCATGTATGTGTGTGTGTGAGTTCGCTTAGAACTGAAGATGGTGAGGCTTCAACTCACTTGCTTTGGACCTGTCATCAGGAAAGACCAATGGCTAGAAAAAGACATCATCATGTTTGGGAGAGTGTCAAAGAAAATGAGGGAATTCCTTGATGAGGTGGATTGACACAGTAGCTACAGTAATGGACTGAAACACACCAATGAGCCTGAAGATGGTATACTACTGAGCAGTGTTTTATTCTGTTGTACATAAGTTCACCATGAGTCAGAGCCAACTTGACAGTAACTGACAACAGTATACCGTATTTTCACATTTAATGCATATGGTGCACATAGGAAATTAATGCATGAGATGGTTACGTGGTTTGCAAAAGAACATGTAGTACACATTATTTGTGTAAAAAGACTCTCTGTGTGTATCCTTTCAATGGGATGAAATACCTTGGCAAATGTAGAAGTGAAACTATAGAATTATTCTTGAAAGTAAAAAATATATACATAATAACAAAAAGCAAGACTCTGAGGGGTTTCCTGAATGGTTATCACGCATGCTACTTCTAAAATGATAAAAGATGCCAACAATGTAGAATTGGGAAGAAGAATCTATCAATTGAAGAGATGAAGGAAAGAGTTTAAGAAGAAAAGGAGAAAAAGAGAAAAGATTACATATTTAGAGAATAAAGGGAGAAAGTTACATTATGTAATGAGAGAAAAAGTTATTTCCTGAGGGAAGAAACTAAAAAGTGATCAAATTAGGAATCCCAGAAGGGAAAATATATATGTATAAATATATTTTTTTTCCAAAAAAAGTGCATAATAATGAAGAATCAGAAAATGTTCCCTAAAGATAACTCTTTAGAAAATTCTAGAGTGTTTCTGAGATTCCTATAAGAAGCATCATTTCAAACATGTTTTATACAGAGCTGTTTCTTCAGGGCTAGGGTGGCTTTGCGTTAATTCTTCTGTGTAATCTCCATCAATGGTCCCTTGGGATCCAGAGCATTTATTTGGCAGGATTTGATATATGTTTGTGACCTTGGTGCTGAACAGTACTTCCTGGGCTACACAGAGCTAGAAATCATGACAAAGGCCTCATTGGTTCAGTAATTTAATCAATCAAATGAGCTTTTCAAGGATAATCAAGTAGGGCATGTCTATATTAGTTAAAACAAAGAACATGTCAAAAAAGAAACTAACACTTACTGAGCACTTACCACTGGGTAGGCACTGACTTGCTGAATCCTCCTAAAAACCCAATGAGGCTAATGTCACTCTTTCTATTTGACAAAATAAAGGAGACTGATTCAAAAAGAGCAAGGAAACAAAAGAACTGGGGTTCAGTTCAAGACCACAGTCTCTGTGCCCTTTCCCCTTATTTCCCCAACTAGCAGGCCATAAAATTATCTGGGATATTTGTTTAGAAATGTAGATTTTTAGGCACTTTCCATACTTACCGTATCAGAAACCCAGAGGTTTCTGTGACAACTAGTAACCCAGCATTACTTACTAAAGACATGATACTGGTGACTCGGGGAGTGTGAATTACTGAGAGAATTTCACTAAGACTTCTGTAGTTCAGCCTCTTTGATTTATCCACCATTCAAATCATACTAAGGTTCCCATCACATCCATGTACAGAGCTGACTCTGGTTTAGGGTATGAATTTTGATTCCACATACAAGCTAGTCATAACCCCCAGACCTTTCATTGGTCAAACCAAGCCCATTAAGCTCCCACATAAAAATGTGCCTATGCTGTTTTACAAAGACAAGACAAGTGTTGCAAATTCTGCTCATATCCTGATTGGTTTCCTACTGAAAAGCAATTAATGTGTTGAATATGCACCACGTTTTAGACTCTACACATATCAAAGAGGATGCTCAGAATAGCCTAGGAAATAGATGTCATTGTCATTATTTTATAGAAGAGGAAATCTGTACATCAGAGAGGTTCACCCCACAGCTGGTGATGGGAAGAACTTGATTGAAAATAGAATCTTTTAGACCCTGAAGCATTTTTGTTTTTGTTTTTGTTTCTGTTTTTTTTTCTTTCTTTGAAGGGATGAAGGCAAGAAGCAGAAGACAGTTAGTTATCACCACCTCTTTATTACCAGCATCCTCAGTAGGTCAGTGTATTCTAAGGTCAGGCCAGACTATGGGCCACTGTGGGAGACTCGGGAGTACAAACAGGGTGAAACAACTAGACGTGGCCCCCTGAGTTCATGAAAGGAGTGTGTCAATATTCACCTGTACTAACACTTTACTCTTATTGGTCTCTCTATAGGTGTATGAACAAGATGACTTGAGTGAACAAATGGCAAGTTTGGAAGGGCTGATGAAGCAACTTAATGCCATCACAGGCTCGGCCTTTTAACACCAGTTGAAGAATTGATGAGGTGGATTTTCCAGAAACTTTGCAACAGCCAATTACCCAGAAGCAGCACACCTGTGTCCAAGAACACTCACCAGTATACAGGTCAACCACCAAGACCACTCGGTTAAGGAAGATCAAGAAGTAGTTCAGAAGGAATAAACGTTCCTTCTTTCATAGGTGTCAGGAATGTTTAAATGATGACTGTAGGGTCCCAAAACAAAAGCAATGACGCATCCTCACTGCAGTGTCAGAGCTGGAGCTGCTAGAAAAGTCCTGGGCCTTTGCCACTGCAGTGACCACACCGTCATAACTAACACCTATCTTTTATTGTGTCAAGGCCTGTCATCTCTTTTCTGTGTATTTCTAGTCTTACAAAATGCAAGTACATTATTGAAGCCTGTATCATGCCATGGTCTATCAGTGGAGGCTCATGACTTTGTTTTTGACTTAAAGAACAAAGCACCCACAGGAATTCTCTCACTACATAGCATCAAAGGATCAGATGTTTTCCTGACAGCACAAAACATAAATTAACAAACAAAGGGCAGCAAACGCCTATGTTTTGTAACTCAGCCATTCATCTTGCACAAGCATGGATATTAGCAAGGGGCTGTAAAATTCACCCATCTTAGCAGGTATTTGTAAATCCACCCTTGTTTAACATTTATGTCTGGCGAACAAGGGACATAAAAACCTGCAACTGGTGGCATCCTGCCAGCAGCTGTACATTTCCGGAAAGAGGATACAATATGCAGTCTTCTCAGACACACGATAATTATGTGCTAAAGCTTGTAATGGAACGTTTTTCAATTTGGATGGCTTTTGTGCCATACCACACTGTGATGACATTTCAAAGCTTCACCAAGGCCATCTTCCTCGGGAATCTGGCTGAGAGGCTAGCCAGGAGAATTCCCTGCTTGATTTGGCCTTGGTAGCCAGGCTGGGGGGAGGTGATCAGGTCCACACTTAACATGGCCTTCTGGCGAATGACCTGTGCCTCCCACTGTGGAACTGGCATTCTCTGAGAACAGGCCCTGAGGAAGGGAAGGAAAACAGAAATCTGTTTCCAACAGCAGCTTCTCTTGAGGGATGCCGATTCTGCCAACAGAGTTCTCACTGACTTAGGGCAGCATTGGCAAGTGGTGAACACCAAGTCCTGTTGCTAAGGGAACATGCTACCCTATGCTTGTGTTATGGTCAGGAAGAAGCAGCGGGGAAGGCACCACTCGACACCTCTGATACATCTCATAAATCCGGTGGAGACTTTTCAAAGCAGCATCTTCATTGTAGGCTAGGATTTTAAATTTGCATTGTCATGCTTATCTACAGCTTGGAACTAGCTGAAATTCAGAACATTTGTGGGTACTCTCTTAGTTTCTGAATTGTCAGCTGCATTCAGAGTTAATCCCTGTTTATGCAGCTGAATAGCCAAATGGGAGCTAGTTTGCATATTTATCAGTTAGGTGACTTGAAGACCCAATAAGAGAGTTTCAGCTGAGTTATTCCTTTCAGCTCTGCCTTTGATTTCAAGCTTGACTAGGTCATAATTTTAAAAGAGCATCAAAGGGATAGGATCTTTACAACCTAATAGCTCCTTTTATTAGGTGGATAATTATATTTGAATCCCTGAATGAAATATTTTGAGCAAAATGGCACTGTAGCAGAAGTAATAATTCAGATTATTTTTTTACAGTTTTATGTCGGGAAGGGAATCTGATGTCAAAGAGAGGGCTTGTTCAAATGGTTCCTTAGAAAGTCTGGTCCACTTGTGAAATCTTTCCTTCAACAAGAGTGTGTTCAATTTACTAAGAATTTCTGGAAGTCTTCCTGAAGACCTGTGTGCTGTTACTCTATGGGGCAGATTGCTGTTCAACATCTGGGAACTTAGGCAAACAACCCTCCACTGACCCTGGAATAAGGCATTTGCTAACATAATAATTAATCCTGCAGACACAATCCTTCACTTCAAAAGGAAAAATGTTTATTAGGTGAGCCTAAACTTCACAGAGCCCTAGAATAGCCTTCTGTTTCTAATATTCCCGAGAAAGGAATATTCTCTGAAGTCACTCAATACCCCTGAAAGATGAGTCTACACTTAGTTTGGAGTGGACTGCAAATCTTAAATTTTATGGTTTGAGTCACATCTTCATTCTGGAAAACATAGCTGGACAATCAAGAGAATCAGCATTTTCACTAAACTCTAGACTTCTCTAGGCAAACCCAATGACCTTAAGAAACAAAATATTTAAAAATAAATATACCTTGAAAATACAGTAACAGTGAAACCTGTGCGAGCCAAAACTCAATGGGACTACCTTGTTTTCCAGGTCTCGCAAGTCTTCTGCCTCTGACAGGATGAAGATTTATTGCTCGTTTTAGTGGAAAATACTTGTTTTCATTCTTTGACAGTTTCCCACCTCACACAGGTTCTAGCTTTCACAGGTTTTACTGTATTTTTTTTTTAAGCAGGAAGATTATTTCTTCCATATGTTCTTGAAACTTTCTTCATTAAACAAATAAAGTGAGTTGCCATGGAGTCCCCTCCAACTCATTGCAACCTGTGTTGTCAGAGGAGAACTATGCCTTATAGGGTTTTCAATTACTGATTGCCTGGCTTTCCTTCTGAGACACCTCCGGGGTGGACTCTAACGGCTCCTTTAGCAGTCTAGCATTAACCATTTGCACTCCCCAGGGACTACATTAAACAAATATAATGGTTTATTTTAGTAATTGGCAATACTAATAACTCTTAGCTCCATGCCTTGACACCGTATAAATGGTATATAGTAGAATCCATTCAAATACTCTCAAGAGGGCTTGTATGGCTTACCTAGTGATTTCAGCATTCCGTGATGTCTCTCCCGTCTGTTCCACTCCTTCCCAAATTGTTCCCATATGTATAGAACTGTCTGCCCAAGTTTTCAGGTAGTTCTTAAGTTTCTCAGTCCCCTAATCTCATGACAAAAAGTAACCTATGAATACTGTACAGTAGCCTCTGTTTTTCTCCTACACCAAGTCCAGTTCATTGATTCCTGAAAAAGTTAAATATTTTCCTTTTCTATTTCATACTGATAAAAAAAAGTCATTTTCTTCCCTTGAAAATTTCTGTATTTATTGAATACACAAAAATTCAGATAGTTCAAAATGTATAAACATATTTGAATAATATACACTCACTCCTCACTTACTGACATGGTTAGGTTTCAAAGACCAGTGATTATGCAAAAATCAGCATTATGTGAAAATGAATCCCAAAATGGAGGATGACTATGTTATTATGTAACTGCCAAATTACATCATTACATAATTGCCAAACCACTGAGGATCATGGCCCAGACAAGTTGACACATAACTATCAGTGCCAGCATTACTCTTGCCTCGTACCTTGGTATTTGTTAGTGCCAAACCTACATTGTTAATGGTCAAAATAGTTGAATACTAGATTGCTTACTGTTGTTGTAAATGTGAAATATTGGATAATAAGAGAGTCGATAAGTGAGGAGTAAGTATATAGCCAAAAGTTAAATATGTCTCAATGATTCACATTCAATTTGACACCAACCATAGAAGTCTCTTTGTACAAAAGAGCCATAGGCTTCTGGAATATTTAAATAATGAAATTTTACATTTGGATATTATAAAATACATACTCAATCAACAAATCCAAAGAAAATATATGAAGCCAGTGGTATGAGATGAATTTATTAAGGCTTCCTATTAGGAGATTGGCATCTCAAGTAATTAATCTCTTCAAACTATAAGTTGTTCAAAAGGCGATACATACTCAATCCCCTGTCCTTGATCAAAAGAAAATCTAAACCCATTGACCTGGGGTATATTCCAAATCATGGTGACCTATGTGTTACAGAGTGGAGATGCCCCATAAGGTTTTCTTGGCTATCATACTTATGGAAGCAGATTCTCAGACCTTCTGTGATGCCATTGGGTGGCTTTGAACCACCAACCTTTAGGTTAGTACCTAATTGCAGACCACTTGCATCACCCAGGGACCTATTGCCTTGGTCCCATTTACCCATCAAGTTGATTCTGATTCATAACAACCCTATAAGACACAGTAGAATTATCCTCTGGGGTTTCCAAAGCTGTAATCTTTGCAGAAGCAGACTTCCACATCTTTCTGCCATGGAGTGGTTGGTAGGTTTGAACCACTGACCTTTTTGTTAGCAGCTGAGTGCTTAACCACTACACCACCAGGACTCCTTCTGCCTTGGTAGCAGCTACAAGAAGGAGAGCTGCCCAGTATTTAGTGTGAGTTTACAGACAACATTCTGAAACTGTAAAATTTGGCACTCATTGGCTTTCTCAATAAAGAATTTCTAAGTACAGAAGTTTGTGGGCTTGTATGGCTTATAAGCCTGTGCTTAAAGATGGTTGCCAATTCTCATGCACCCTTTTGATCCTTCAGTTGAGTTTGTTTAAAGAAAGCATCTTAAGGTCTTCTTCAAAAGTACTAGAGTATCTCAGACATGGCAGCTGAACTGTAATTCCAACCAAGAGGTGTTATCTCTGAAGACATCACCTTACCATGTTACATAACGTCGGATCCAGAAGCAGACTTCTTGTGATTTTGGAATGTCCAATTCTAGTCAGTGTAAGACATGAAAATAGAAAGGTGCCTGAGTTTTAGGTGTGCTTAAAAGAAGCACAAGCATATGAATTTTAAAATAATCGTGAGGCAGGCTGGCTTCCCCTCCTGTTCATTTCATGCAGCTAGATGCTGTCCTCAAGACCGGAGGTTTGGATCCTAGCCTACTCATAAACATGTACCCAAGATAGAGCCCACAGCACTCAAGAGCTGCAAAAGATGTCATATAGTCAAATCTGCATTGCTAGGGGGAAAAGAAAAATCATAATTTGCATTTCTCTAGTGACTCTCAGAAATGACTTTAATATTACATGGGAAATCTTCCCACTTGATTCTAGAGTTTTAAGTTAAATTGGATATTTTGGAAAATCATAGATAGGGTTTTATCTGTTAT